CATTGTAATATATTTTATTTAGTCTTCTATATAATCAAAAGTTTTTCAGAATGATGTAAAATTACACTGTAGCAGTAGTCATATAGTTGCTTCAAATTCACTCAAAATCCTCAGAGTATCCACTCTGACAGACGTATAGTATCTTAAGAAGGCCTCATCCATTTGAACTGAAACTTTCAGGATATCATAAGAATCATGAGAGTTATTGTTAGAAAGAATTTTCAGACTGAAACTCCTAGTTGCAGTTTTCCTCGTGATCTCATGCAATAGGTTGAAAGTTCAGTAGAATAACTCTAACTCTAGCAGAAAGTCTTAATGGCACGAATTCTTTCGAGATTTTTATCTACCCTATGAGTTCTATCCCTGAGCAAAATATGAGTTTAAACAGAGATTATTAATTGAATGGGTTCCCCGTGTAAGTTTTATTTTTGAACATGTTTAGCTTTTCCAAAAGAAAATTAAAAGTTTTCTTGTTGTTATCGACAGACAGAATACAAATATAGAAACGAAAAAAAAAATGCAATATGAAGTTCAGAATCTATTTGAAATAGTACAATTTCTTCTTAAAAATCCGCTTTTATGAATTAATTAAACAGCTTTAATTAGGTGTAAGTTTGAACAGTCGAAATTTTTTCATATGTTCATGGCAAAAAAATTAAAATTAAATGAAAAATAGTTATGTTTCGTTTTGCCTACTATTGTTCATATACAACTCAAACAATCATATTATCGAATTTTTTTCTATTTATCTTTTTTTTAAAATATTTAATTTTTACTTTGCTCACATATTCACGAATTTAGTTTGATCTCATTTTATCGAAAACTTTCATTCAACATTATTCTATAAAAAAAAACAAATATAACTTTGTATTAGAGATGAGAATATAATTCAATAATTCATAAGATAGTGACAACAAAATATTATTATTATTATTATTATGTTTCGCTAATCTTAAAAACACACATATCATATGAACGTTTCTTTTTCATATGAAATTAGATTACTATAATTAATTTTTATTAATAAAAGATTTGTTTGTATTAGACAACTAACATTATCTATTTATCATTTTCATTATATTATGTTCAATTTGAATGAGAATTGAACATTAACAGAATTATCTCTATATGCCTTTCACTTAGACAAATATGAGCATCTATTCCATATGAAATCTTTCAGCCGGTTAAATGAATAAGCCTGAAGCAACATTACTTTTTTTTTTTTTTTGACATTAAACCTTTGATTCTTATAAGATATGGATAGAGAAAAAAAACGGATGTCATATTCTCCGTTAATGAAATTATAGCTACCAGCCATAATGATGATGAGATAGAAAACTGAGAAAAAAAAAACACCTTAAATTCATGTATGGGAAAATATATTTCATTTTTTTTTTTTTCTTACGCTTACTTACTCACTAAACGATAAAAGTAACGGTTTCTTGTGTTCTTTTTCTTTTTTGGTGTTAATAATTCAAGCAGAAAATGAGCAAAAGAATATATTTCAATTTATATTCAACGTTATAAAAAAGAAAAAAAACTTGGCACTGCCGCCGGATCAGGCAACCTAAATACTTGAATCAACATCCTATTAGCTTAAGTAGTTCAACTCATTCATTCATTTATATGCTGCTCACACATTTCTTTTTTTTTTTGTTTATGTAACCCATTCAAAGTACTAAAGATCGATAATAATGATGATGATATCTGATGATACCCTAAGGCATCATCAGCCATACGATCAACGAACTTTTCTCTTGTCTTCTTTTTTTTTTTTCTGTTGATATCTTTCTACCTCGAGCTGAATAACATATACACTTATAATTTATTGTGCATTTGGTATAGAATAAAGCAAATACTTTTTTTTTCAAGTAATTTATAAATGCCTAGACTTTATTCATTGATTTTTCTTTTTAAGTATTAACGATGTTGAATCTTTTTTTTCTCTTTATGACTTTCGGCAACATCAACGTTAACATTTTTTTTTTTTTTTTTGACATAACCAATCCATATTCGAGTTTATATAATAACCAATCGGAATAAGCCAAGAAAGAAAAAAGAAATGCCGACTTTCTTCCTTCTTCTGTTTTTTTTTTGCTTATCTCGAAGGCAACAGAGAAGCAGTAATAAGGACGAATAGAAACATCGGAACTGGTACGACGACATACATTCCTATCCATACACACATACATCGAACGCCCATTAGCCATTCTTTTCTTTTTTTTTTTTTAACTAGAAACATTTTCTCGATTTACGTTTGTGCGAAAGGCGTGTGAATACCATTAAACATTGTACGAATACATCCGCAAGCGGTCGTCTCATGTCATTTCATCACCTTCATCATCATCATCATCATCTTGCCGAAAATTCCTGGCAGGTAAATTGACTTGCCGTGTTCTATATGTAATACATATATAGAACAGAGAGAAATAAAGATTTTTATATACTTAATGCATATATAGATTATAGGATATTTTTTTCTTTTAATCTAGGATCGATCAAATCATTTTATTAATAATTCTAATGTTCCAAATAATTCCGATCGATCAACTAGTCAAACATCATCAATGCCTCTTACATCATCATCATCAAATTCAGGTGGAATTGATTTTCAACCACCTTATTTTCCACCACCATTTACAAATGTAACACATCCAACACATCAACATCCATTTGATCAAATACAATCAAATCATAATTCACATAATCTTGATTATACATCATCATCATCATCACCTCCATTTACAAATAATCAAACATCACAATCATATAATTCATTAGTTCGTTCCTCAGGTGTAAATATTGATGAAACAACAACACCATTAACTCATCCATATGGTGCCTATGCTGAATATGCAGCATCTTATTATAGTCGTCATGCTATGGTACTTGATCCAGAATCATTACAACTTTATCGAAGTGGTTTATTAGGTACTGATCCATCTAGTACAGCAGGTTTTCGAGTAATTATTATATATATTTTCTTTTGTGTATTTTGATGTCAATTGTATTTATTATTTAGGTTCCTGGTCTTGAAGATAATGTTCCACCAGCACTTTCTGAACATTATCGAACATCAATTCATCGAGGTAAATAATTATAATAAGAAACAAAAATTTATTTTTTTTGTTGTCAAGATTTACGTCGTAATGATACAAAAGAAGGTATTCAAATAAATTTAGGTGCTGGTAATCGACCTATTGCTCCAGCAGATGTTTTTTGTAGTGTACCCGGACGATTATCTTTACTTAGTTCAAATTCAAAATATAAAGTTAGTATAGCTGAAGTTCAACGACGTCTTTCACCACCAGAATGTCTTAATGCATCATTACTTGGAGGTATTTTACGAAGGTAAAATTTTTTTTTTGAAAATATGACGAAACTTTGGTTTTTTTAAAGAGCAAAATCAAAAAATGGTGGAAGATTATTACGTGAAAAACTTGAAAAAATTGGTGTTAATCTACCAGCTGGACGACGTAAAGCAGCTACTGTTACATTATTAACATCACTTGTTGAAGGTGAAGCTGCACATTTAGCACGTGATTTTCATTATGTATGTGATCAAGAATTTCCATCACGTCAATGTGCAGAATATACAACACGTCAATATCATACAATAAATCATTTACAAGATCCATCGGGAATAACAAAACGTAAACAAAATATTCTTGCTACTAAGTAAAAATTTTTAATTTTTTTTTTGTTTTGAAATTTTTTATAATTTTTTTTTTTTTTTTTAGACAATTAATTAAAGAATTTACTGATTTATTAACACAAGATCGTTCACCATTAGGTACAAATAGTCGTTTAGCATCTGTTCTTGATATATCATTTCAACGACATTTAACAAATTTTTCTCTTATTACACATGGTTTTGGTACGCCAGCAATTATTGGTGCAATGTCAGCATTACAAAATTATCTTACTGAAATGAATAAAATATGTGACAAACCATCTATGACAAATTCTATTATGGAAAATAAAAAAGATATGGATTTATTAAATGACAAAACTCGATAGATATTTCTTTATATATATATATATATATTTAAATCCGTATACATTCCAAAAGTTCTCTTGTATTTGTGCGTGTTTCGTTTTGTTTTAAACAATAACTGTCTGTTGAAACCATAAATTATTTGCTACATATGTTTTATAAGAATTTGTTTGTTCGATAGATATCAAGCGTTAAGATATATGATGAAGCTCGAAAAAATCAAAAAAAGAAAATATGCCTTAAGCTTTCTATTCTTTTAATTGTTTACAGAAAGATAAACATTTTATTTTTATATTTGAAAATTTATTCGAAAATTCTAATGATCATAATTTGAAAGAATATTATATGTATTTGATGATAAAATTTTTGATTTCCTTGAAAAAAAAGAAAAAGATTTTTTTTTTTGCTTTTTCTTCAATCATAATACTTTTAATAATTAAAACGACAGGTTCCACTCCTTTTTCTTTCTCTGCCGGGTAAATGACAAATGGTTAAAGATGTGCTGTTCTACACATTAGTCGTTTGTTTGTATATATATATGGATGGCCATACTGATCGATGCACCATGTACATATACAATAGCTAATGAACAACAATAGGCAAAAATAAACAAGTCGAAGAATAAAAAGATCAAAAGAAACGACACAACGGGTGCATACATCTGCATATACAACCTTAGGCATACGATAGTGCCCTATAGTTAGTAAAAATTGTATATACTTCAACTAGTTGATAACTATTTAGTGATGATTATAATATAGAATAGTCAATGAAATAATAAAATTAATATATGAAAAGATTTTTTGTTCACAAAAAAAAAAAAAAATATTACGAATGACTTGTAATAGATAAACAAAATTCTGTGCGTGGGAGTGTTATGATTTAATGGATCAAAAGTTCTAATAATAACACAATGAGAAATATCTAAAACATCGTGTTGGAAAAATTCAGTATACAATGTGCAGATATTTTCAACACTTGTACATATTATAGAAATTTCTACATGAATACTTATTGTACACAAATAATTAACATAAAGTGAGTCTTTCTTCTGTATTTTCAAATCAACTTTTCTTTATTTATTCAAAAAAACATATTTTACTTTCATCTTAAATAAGTAAACCGTATCACGCTTCATTATCATTTTTATATGCAAGAGAAAAAAAAGTATTCGGAAGTAAAATAGTAAGAAAAAAGATGACATGTACTATAAGATATGTAATATTTATTGAAAATGATATGAAACGTTAAATCGACGAAAAAATGTCCTTTGATCAAAATAAACAAGATTTTTATCTACTTTCGAACGACAACAAAAATCATACTTCCATTGCCCACGTATGTTTCTTGTCTGCTCTTATGACATGGCGCACTTTCATGTATTTTTTATTAATAATTAGGATTCACCTGTATGTTTTTTTTTCTCCTTTTCCTTACAGGTTTGATTGAGTCATTCGAAAAAAAAAACACATTTATTTTATCGTAATAAAATGCATTGAACCGTAGCTTTTGGAAACAAATTATAAAAATGTGAAACCATTTGATTCATGAGTAAAACTTGATAAATGATGGATAGAATGTTATTATTCATATATGTTATACTGTGTTGCATTAATTTAATATATAGTGCTACATATAGATGTGATCCAAGTATTTCATGTGGTTGTTCATCATTAAGTACAATTGTTACATCGAGAATTGTTGGTGGAGAAGTAGCACCTGATTATGCATGGGGTTGGATGGTTTCTCTTCAAAAGTCAGGTAAACATTTATGTGGTGCAAGTCTTTTAACACCTGAATATGCTGTAACAGCTGCTCATTGTCTAGATGAAGTTATGGATATATCTGTATTATCAATTCTTGCTGGTACTAATGATTTAAATGATACGTCCATTACAACTATTCAACAAAGATCAATCATTAATGTTACTATGCATCCTGATTATGATAAATTAAGTATTGTAAATGATATTGCTATTATTAAATTTTCTCCACTTATAACATCATCAAATTCTAAACTAGCTTTTATTTGTTTACCTAAACAAGATGAAGATCCATTTAAAACAAATAGTAGTCTTGTAGCTATTGGATGGGGTGATTTATTGCAAGGTATGAATAGTGTATCTAATACTCTTCAACAAGTAACAGTTCAAGTTTTTTCATCAACATCATTTGAATGTCAACAATCAGGAATGAACAATTCATTAGTGCATTTTTGTGCGGGAATTATAACTGGTGGTAAAGGTTAGTTTTTATTATATATTTAATTTATGATATACTAATTTATTTTTATAGATACATGTCAAGGTGATAGTGGTGGTCCATTAATGGCTTTTGTTGATAATCGTTGGGTATTAGCAGGAATAACATCATTTGGTGACGGATGTGCTAAAGAAGGATATCCAGGAGTATATACACGTGTGTCCTCTTTTATTTCATTTATTAATTCAAACGTTAATTTTCCAGTAACAGAAATAACAACGGTTTCATCACCGCCATCGACAACTGGATATAATAATAATCAATCGAGTAGTATAAAGAATAATGGAAATATGATAAATAAATCAATAATGATTATGATACATTGTTTTTCATTTTTAACATGTTTCTTGTTTTCTTATTGATAATACAATACGTATATAATATGAATAGAAAATCTTCAATTATTGTCAAAGAATTTTGAAATTTTATTTTAATTATTTAATTGATTTATTTTTTTTGTGCAGTGTTCAATTTTGTAATGTTTGATAAAAGAGAAGTTGTGACTATGAAAAAGATAAATGAACTTATAAAGTTAATGTATACTCTTTGTATTTGAAATAAATAATTGATTTTATGAGAATAACTCATTGTTTGAATTGAATTCTTTGAGTGCGCAGTCAATCTATATATAGTTTGAAAACTGTAAAAGAAATCAAAGTCTTTGAATTTGTTAAATTAGATTCTTTACGTATTTTATTTTTTTCCTGACTGAAAGTTGTAAATTTGTATGATTAAACTCAAAAGAAGTATAATAACTATAATATTTTATAATTAATAATTATTTTTCATGCTGTAGCTTTATTTCTTTTATATAAACAAAAGATCATCTTCGAAGATTTAACAGCCTATCCTAGTAATAAGGTTACCGACTAGAGTAAGGATGGCAAGAACTTTTTCTCTACATAAATTTCGAACTTATTTCAAATAATTTTAGAGTCTCGTGAGAAATTGAGACAAAGAGCGAAACTTTAATGGTTGCAACTCTGCTTCTGATAGGCATTCATACGAAGACACCTTCGTTTGGATAAACTATCATAGCTAGTCGATGATTTCAGCATTTTCGGTTCGGTCTCTGGCAGCAAGATGAACGAAGATACTTTCTAGTATATTTGTTCTCGTTTCTTTTCCCATAGAAATCAGGAATGAGAACGATTAAAAAAATGGGTGTTTCCGAAAATCGATTTTTTTTTCGTATCTAAATATTCTCTAAATTTTGAATTTTCAAACACAAAAAGTCGAAGTCTTACTTATTTTATTGAAATGCACCTTCAATGATAATTGTAATAATATCAATAAACTCGGAAACAGTTTTCTCTAGATTGAGATCAAGATCAGTAGAAAAGAAGTTACAGAAATCGAACTACGATCGAGAGCAAAAAAACTTTGTCTTGCACGTCTCTACTCAGAACCACTCAAAAATCTAGGTCAAAATTTGTTGCAGGAACAATATTCGTTGTTAAAAATGGTCACACAAATTCACAAAACCTTTGTTATCATGGTCGAACAATGGTACTCAAAGAATTAATAAAATTTTGTCAGTTACGTCTATAATATGAAATCAAATGGGTGGCCGGATTTTTGGCCCACGAATTTTTTGTCCCAGATTTTCGGCCCGAGCCGAAATTCCGGTGATTTTTCGACCCGGGCCGAAAGTTGGAAAGGAATTTCGGACCGAAACTTAATTTATCTAATTAATTTTATAAATAACCAATAAACTTCATGGTGCTCAGCAGTATGATATGGTGCTCTGCAGTATGATATGGTGGTTGGCAGTACGACATAGGGCTCAGCAAGACAATATGGTGCTTAGCAGTACAAAATAATGTTTAGCAGTTTTCACTTCACTTTGTTAGAGATGAGGCAGCCGTTTTCGATAATTAATTAAAGAGAAGATATAAATAGTGGGAACGACAAAGAAACAAGAATGAATAGACCGGCCGATACCGGTCGTCAAAAATTCGGATCACTTTCATCTCTGATCGATACCACAAAGGAATGAAAGCATCTATTCGATCGAGTGTGACTAAATGTGATCACTATCTAAACATGTATTTCATTCAATATTAATGATGTGATTTATCTCCTACGTAAAGTACACGAAGAAATACATAGATACAGCCGAACGTTATAATTATCATGTCATCTAAATTCGTCTTGCTGAGTTCTATACCCATTTCTTAAATATTGCGTCAGCTTTCACAACAGAATACTTAACATATGTTTCGATCAATATCCGAGCTGCCAATTTTTTATCGATATGCTTAGTGTTAGGTACTAGATTGTCTAGCTAGACACTATGTCATACTGTCAAGCACAATGTCATACTGCTGAACATCACACCACACTGCTAAGCATTATGTCATCTCGCCGGACATCATGTCTAAATACAGAGTACTATGTTATCATGCTGAGCAACATGTCATACTGCCGAGCCCAACGTTTTCTTGAAAGTGCATAGTGCTGGGCGCCATGAAGTTTACTAATTATTTATAAAATTAATTAGATAAATCAAGTTTCGGTCCGAAGTTCCTTTCGGACTTTCGATCCGAGTCGAAAAATCACTGGAATTTCGGCTCGGGCCGAAAGTCCGGGACAAAAAAATCGTGAGCCGAAATTCATGTAACCCAAATCAAATTTGTTAGAAACAAAAAAGATCATCAAAAATTGTCAATCTTATCGTTTGTTGATGCAAGCCATGACACAATGCATCTTTTTAATGACTTTTATTAGGTTTATCGAATTCTACTTGCAGGCAAAAAAATGATATTCTCTTACAAGATACATTAAACTTGATTATCTTCCAGTAGCTAACAAATTGTTAATCTAATCCAATGAATTTTATTCTTCACTATTATAACACAAAAAAACACATTAACATCAGAATGTTTCTTACAAGAAATCAAATCTCTTCTTTTCATAGATCAATTTCAATCTTCTCTATTGAATAAAATAAAAATTTCATTTATAGACGAATAAGTGATCATTTTTAGTATAACTCATCATAAATTCTTTCGTTCAAAAATAAACTCATTGTAGGTACTGTACTTTTGTGAACGAGTGTAATACTTGGCATGATATAGGGAAAAGCGAAGACAAAGAGAAACTAAGTTTTCTTTCAATCAGTCTTCTAAGTTTAGTGTCATGCAGTCCGGTTCGGATATCCACTATCTGACTCAATTCAAAACAAGGGACCGGGTGAGTCCTCACCGAGTCGGTTCGGTTGCCGCGCATGGAAACAATTGTTGATTCTATTCACAGGTATAAACTCCACATCTGGATCCGTCCCGGTTATCAATGAGATCTCGATGTTTCAAAAGATTTTTACTTTTTCAAACTGGTAATACATATATAAAAGCACAGGAATGAAAATCAGTTCGATCATCATTGAGCAATTGGCTGTACTTGAGAATAGGTCACAGAAGTATTGTTTCACCAAAAGAATTCGCTTTTTATTGAAAATTCATCTAAAAATGATGATGAACCATATGATAAAATACCTGAATACATGGAAAGCAAAATCGATTATGAAAAATATGAATATTTATTATCATGATGAAGAGAGCATTCATATATGAATCCACAATTATAATGTTTAGCATCAACACTGCATTCCATTCCAGTGTCTTCAGCAAGAAAAAAAAACATATTCTTAGCGAAAATGATCGTATTTTAGAAGTAAAAACACATCGAATGATTCATTTGTTTTTCTGAAGTTATTCTAGTTTGAAAAAAATTTCCTTTGATCGAGTAATAGTCAAAGATAATAGTATCTGATACATACATGTTTATTATTAAACTATATATAAGGTGGGGAGCAATACCTAGCATATGAGAATATCCAAGCGCGTTTAGAAAAAAATCCCCTAACAGAAAACAGAGAAAGAGAATCCATCATAAGACATAAAGGAAAAATACACATGATCAGATACAAAAAAATACATATGACAGAGAGGGAAAATTACTTATGAACTAAAGTAAAAAGCTAAAATGGCAATATGAAAGAGAACGTGCAAAAAGTAAAACGATAACAGCAACTGTATTGATTACTTCTTAACACTTTTTTGTGGAAATTGAGATAGTCTCGTTCTTTTTTTTGTTGCTGTTTATGGAAGAAACTAAATAATATATTTTTTCCTATAAAATAACAACTTGAAAACGATACTATGGTTATGAATGTATCTGTTGGGTGTCGATTAGCTCCGATCCAGATTCATTTGCGAAAAGTTATAGTTGTACAGTATACTACTTCATCCATCGATCTTCTTCAATTCTGGCGACCTCGAGACATCCCTGAACATATAAATAAAGAACATCATGCTTCATTACTGTTCTCACACACAAGAAAAAAAAACATTTGCACATAAACTAGTAAGAAAAATGAAATTAAGTGTAATATAAGATATGTAACGTAAGGAAAGTTAGCAGTCGATTCAAGTTTTCTCCAAAACGATATCGTTACATTCACTGAGTCACTTCAGCACTACTCTGAGTCAGATACAACTTGATGAGCTCAATCAAATGATTAACTCATACTTTTGACAAAAGCTATTCGAAAAAAATAAAAGCTAAAAAATCTATTTTTCCCCTCTATAGAAAAAAAATGCAAAAAGAGAAACAGTATTTGGTACAATAATTCGTTCCACAAACTGAGCTCAATCGACACAGTTTGATGAACTCTATTGAATGATGTATGTTTTGCTTCATGGAAAACTATACGACTCTGGCTGGCATTGCTGAACACAGAAAATGGTGTTTTAAGGCGGAATTTTCTCTCACAATTCTCCTGATATGTCGACCACTGATAGAACGTAGGTCAATAGAAGGAACTCGTCTAGATGCATTTGATCAACTAACTTTAATCAGTAATTCAAGTTATTGAACAAATTATGATGAGAAAGAGCGACTTAGTACTTCATTTTCTTATTGTAGCCATTCTAGCCATGCGCACTTTGATTCTAATCATATGAAACATACATCATTTGCAAGAGCTCGCAAAGATGCGTCGCATAAGCAAGAATTCATCGGCATATTAGGTTATAGAAAAAATTGCCACAGAAAATAACTCCTCAAAGCCAGATTTTTCGGATTGCAGGTTTTCTAGCTAAGATGGCGTTGCTTTCAATCGGATGAAACCTAGACCTTTCGATAGTGCTCATCGAACTGCATTGATTGAGCAAAATTTCATGAATGACTCACCTTGTAGAGGGAATCGTCGTAGAAAATTCTTTTTTTTTTGTATGGGAAAAAGTAGATTTTTTTCGAACAGTTTTCGTCAAAAGCCTGAGTTCATCATTTGATCGAGCTTGTCGAATTTTATCTGGCTCACAATAGTACTAAAGTAGCTCAGTGAAGGGAACAAATT